GCTGTCACTCATGGGACACCCTGCAATAGTATAAGGACAACATGGGCTATGGTGACAAATTAATGTGACTTACCTGTTGGTGACGACGATGGTAGGAATGAGACCTCGGCATGTTTCAGTGTTCGACATCACCTCCTTCCCCTGGTGTGGGTGGCGCCAACCTTGGTAACAACTTGTGTATTCTCCGTGACTACCAGTAATGGTAGTCACGGAGAATTAATTACTGGTGTGCCCATCAGTCGCACCGTCGTAGCCATGAACGGCAGAGATATGGTCATTGTAGTGCTTTTATTTACCCGTTACACATCTCTCACCATGCTTAATAATATTAACTATCTTCATGACATTCTTATTGTTATCAGTGATTGCGGAATTCACGATGTTATGCTCCACCTACACACAGCCTGTTACTAGACTAACCCCCACCTCCTCTATCCCCCCCCACACACACAGTGGGCGACATCTGTTGGCCGACCATGGCATTTCCCCCAGCTGTTTCGAAACTTCAGACTCAAGGCAATTCGAACCCTCACTGTGGCTGGGTAGTGGACACGACTTTGGTGCACGATAGTACATACCCCAACTTCACCCCCAACACTCCCTCCTCCCCACACCTCGCACCTGAAGATCAAGGTAATCAATATTCGCCCGGAGGTAATTAAGGTTGCTGCCATCAAAGAGTGCTACGCCTGTCCGAAGGCTGGAGATCGTACGTTTGATGCAATATTCATAAACGTGTCATAATTGCGTGGAAAGGTTGTTCGCCAGACGCTGTTGGTTGCTCGTGTTGGTATTGTGCAAGTAGGCGAACAAGACCATTCATGTGTCGCTTTACTATAAATCACTTGAAAGGTCTTTTACAATATCTTATTGACTTACCGATAAGCACAGTGACATAGAAGACAACATTTTTTTTGGCAATATTTCATGGTATTTTCTCAAACCTTCATCAGGGAGGGGAGATAACACTCTCTCTCTCTCTCTCTCTCTCTCTCTCTCTCTCTCTCTCTCTCTCTCTCCTCGCCCTTATTAATGTTACCGTCACTCCTTACCAACTCAACGTGTATCATATGAGGATTTAATGAACTTATCCTAATCATAGGTTTATTATTATTATTTTTTTTACTCTTTGAAAACATGTTGATGCAGCCCGAAGCATAAGTACATTAAAACCTGTGATGTTGTGATTATAACCTAAATATCACGGGCGATTAATCCGCTTTCTTAGCCTTAAATGATTCTTGGTAACATATTGACTTTAGATCAAGATGGTGCTTCACATTACTCTTGATCTATGCTCTTCCAATAACTTCATCAGTGAAATACATGATTTAGCTTTCATTAGAAAATTTATGAATAATAAGAGTGTATTATAATGAAGTGTATATTATACATTTAAATATAGGTTAGAGAAATGCATGAGGTTTGAAGAAATGTTTTTATCTTTAACTGAACTGATTTTCTAGGTTTTACTATTATAATTAGAAGCAGTAGTTGTCGTGATATCAATATAAATATTTTACCCTTAACATTACCATTAATGTTATTGCAGTTTCTACACACTATTATAGATATCAGTTATCATTACCGTCACTCTTATTCACATTCTTCCCCACGAGTGTTGGTAACTGTAGGTTCTTTTCACCAAGTATCGAGGAATGTTTAAACCACTTACTATATGTACACAGCTCCACAAAGTTTAAAATATATTATTGAAAGTTTACATAGTTTAAATGTTTTGGTGAACTGTTTTTTTTTCTTTTTTGCGCTTTGCTATAAATATTTTTTTTTTGTTTATTGAAAGATACAAAAAAATTATTCAGAATTTTGTATACCAGTCATATTTGGTCAATTTTACCGAGTTAGCGGTTATGAATTTATTCCATTATTTAACAAGTAACTATATTATACTCTACATATTGTATACTGTATCACACCCTATATATGGCTCATAAAACATTTGTACTCTTGTTACTATATGGACTAACAAGTATAGAGGTATGATAAAACACCTATACTCTACCTCTACACTATGTTGTCTCAGGTTAACAGACATGCAAGCTGTAGTTCCATCATCACCCTCGCCTCCACCACCATAAAGGTACGTCAGGTATAATTATGATCTAACACACACCTGCATGTTACTTTATCTTCAGATAATAAACCCTCACACTCATTATAGACCAAAGTGCCGAGACAGTAGTACAAATAACTAATATAAATACATATACGTTACAGTTATACAGTCACAATTATACAGTTACAGTTACAATTATACATTTATACAGTCACAGTTATATAGTCAAAATACATAGATTGAAACTTCCTGAACAGGTGGGAGTGAGGCAGCAGATGTTGGGTGACAGCGAAAAGAAAAACAATATTTGTTCAACAGTGAGAATTAGAAGGAGGAATTCGAGATAGGAAAAATAAAGAGACACCAAGAAAAATACGTAAGAAGAGATAAAACAGAACTGGAAAATATTTTGGAATGATAATAAAAGAGAAAATACGAGGAAAAACATCGGAAAAAATAGGAAAAAATAAATTAATAGAGAAAGAAAGGAAGGAGATACAGAAACGAAGATATTAAGAGAAAATTAAGAATTCCTCGATAACCAAACAAATAAGAAAATTAAAGAAAAGAGATAGAAGTAAACAGGAAACGAAAATATACAATACAATGATAAAATGTGGAGGAGGAGAAGAGAATGTGATATAAGGAAAAAGAAGCAAGAAATGTTGACAGAGAAACAGGACAGAATAGAATGCCTCGCAGGAGATCAAAGTAACATTAGTGTTTTTAAATGAAGATTGTCATTAAAAGACTTTAATTGTGTTGTGGAACTTTACTCTCGCGCCACTATTTATCTTCTCCCTTGAATCTTATTTGTTTTTCCTAATTCAATTCTCTCTTTCCAGTGTGTGTGTGTGTGTGTGTGTGTGTGTGTGTGTGTGTGTGTGTGTGTGTGTGTGTGTGTGTGTGTGTGTGTGTGTGTGTGTGTGTGTGTGTGTGTGTGTGTGTGTGTGTGAGTCTGTGTGTCTGTGTGTGTGTGTCTGTGTGTGTGTGTGGTAGAATGTTCACAGTTACTTCATAAATTATCCCCGGGCCCACGAGTTTAACCCCGGAGTTACGGTAAATAACCTGACCAATAAATAACTCGCCCTTGTGTTTATAGCTCACTGTTTTACTCATAGCGGGGATCAAACCTGGGGAACATTAACCTTCTTTCCCTGAACTCTACTTAGCTAATCACTTTAACCCGAGATGTTAGTTTCATATAACATGTTATTGATGCGAACTACACGACGTAGGTGGAACTAATACACAGTAAATAAAGTTGGAATTACTGTCTATACGTATACATAAGCCAATTAAATTTCTTTCAAACATACATAGACTCAGATGTATACATACCCAGAACCAGAGGAACTTTATGTTTTGCTGAAGATATTTATATTAGGTGTGACGATGTATTAAACAGCTACCATGATTACATTAAGCTTCACCATTACAAGATCAAAAGCTCCTGGTGATTTTAGTAGCAGTATGTGTCGCCGTCGCTCTCAAAAGGTCTTTAATTAGGAAGCTATCAGGGACACCTTTTTGCAGGTGCAGTATTTATAGGTGTGAATAGAGCTCCTCTCTTACCCTCCACGTGAACAGGTAATGTAGTCAGGTATGCCAGTCACTCATTACCTTCCACTTTCTCTGTGAATTACGTTCAGTTTTTTGTTTCTATGTCTCCCTTTCTGTATTCCTGTGTGTGTGTGTGTGTGTGTGTGTGTGTGTGTTTATCTCCTTTCGTTCCTATTCTTCTGTCTAGTTATTTTCCAGACAATTTATCCAGAAATAAATCCATCACCTCCTGTCTACCTCTCTCTCTCTCTCTCTCTCTCTCTCTCTCTCTTGTAAAGTCCAATTTCCTTTCGAAATTGGATACAGTTTTTCATCAGAGAATTTTCTTTACAAATCTCTCCACAATTTCCCTGGTGAATATTCTCAGAATATAAATTCCAGCTCTGACTTCATCAACTGTAACGAAAGCTTTAATTTCACTTTTGGTTACGTTAGGTTAGGTGGATACACCCCTCGCCTTCTATTAAACAGTCTCTGGTTCGACCTTAGTGTACTCCCAGATCACCTAAGTTCACACTCATACATAATCATAAGATACAAAGGTTGTGAACTCTATAAGGCACAAAATAATAGAGTCAGTTGCTCTATATCACACGAACATGAATTAAATCTAATACATTTATAAAACTTATGAAGGAAAATTTAAGTTAATGTGTGATTTTTTTTTTACTTGTGAACAAATACATAAAAATTGAATGTAGCTTTTTATTTGTTTCTTATAAATTAACACACCCATAAAATGGTAAAATGTGGACACAGACACAGGCACACACACACAGACACACACACACACACACACACACACACACACACAGAAATAACAGGGAATTTACTAGATTGAAGATATACAAGATGTAGACACGTGGACTAAAAACTTTTAAAATGATCATAAACCAAAAATAATGACCCAAGCCCCAAAACATAACTTCTAATTTACCCTAAAAAAAAAAAAAAACTTAATAACTAACTATACAATGAAAATTTTTAGAATGCTTCCGTGGTACTTAAAACATACACACTACGTACAACACACTACGTACAACACACTACGTACAACAACGGACAAATGTGTAATATGTACCGTACAATCCTGTATAATCGTATAATGCAAATATTACCTGGTCGGAAAGAGAAGCGTGACAGGTGTTGATTAGTTCTGTGTCGACCAGAAAACATCAGAACTTAATTAGGACTTAAATACAAAACAAAATATCTTCCTAGAGTCAGGCAAAACTTACACACACACACACACACACACCACACACAGTCATCAGAAAAAACAACCATAACCTCCACAGATAAATGCCACACAGAACACGAAGAAGATAGACGAACCACTGGAAATATTAACCACAACCAGGCAGCCATGAGGTGAACACAACCCTGACGGAGGCTCCTACAACACTGACGGAGGCTCCCACAACACTGACGGAGGCTCCTACGACACTGACGGAGGCTCCCACAACACTGACGGAGGCTCCTACGACACTGACGGAGGCTCCCACAACACTGACGGAGGCTCCTACAACACTGACGGAGGCTCCTACGACACTGACGGAGGCTGACTCCCAACACTGACGGAGGCTCCCACAACACACAACTTTCACCGCATCATAAGAAACAAGAAAAACAAACTAAAATATAAACAAAAACTCTTGAGATCACAACACTCTGAAAAACGACCACACACACACACACACACACACACACACACACACACACACACACACACACACACACACACACACACACACACACACACACACACACACACGCACTGACCAGTTCCAGCTGAAATCTGGTGCTGGCTATCCCCTACCCCACACCATCACTCTACAAAAGGCGCTGAGAATCATTCACAACCGCGGCTGCAGATGAGGTCGCCGCATTCCCAGACGAATCCTTTTCATCACGCCGAGCAAGAATAAGAAAGTTAAGCCAGCGCCAGTAAGACAGTGTGCTCGCTATGAAGTGCCGTGACTATGGTACAGCCTACCATCCCTATTGCTATCCATTGTCACATCTTTATGCAACAAGGTGGAGGAGGTCAGTGTCACAGTGAAGTCAGTTGGTGCAGGTATTGTGGCGATTACCGAGGCGTGGCAAATTGTTCCTGAGATCTGTGCCATAGAAAACTATGAGTTATTTCACCACCTTAGAAAGGACAGGAGAGGTGGGGGTGTAGTTCTGTACTGTCCCAGTGACCTCAAACCATCACCCCTAGTTGTTAATGTACCTGAAGATGTGGAAACTTTGTGGGTTCAGGTCACTCCCACCTCCCACCCCGGCCAGCTTGCCTCCCTCATTGTTTGTGTTTGTGATATACTGTATATAGAATTCGTACTATACAAATTTTTATAGGAGGAATTTTTACTGTATTCTTTACTTACGAGAAATGAGAATTTGAAGAGGTAGAGGGATGGTGAATGAGTGGAAAGGCGGATGGAAGATAAAAAAGGAGGAAAAGGAAATGAGAAAGGAGAAAGAGGAGTAGAGAGAGAAGACGATGATTAAAAAGAGATGGGCATTTAGGAGGGAGGGGGGTGTAAGGGTGACACGTCAAGGAAAAAAAGTGAAAGAGGAGGACAAAGGGGGGGTAGAAAGATGAGAATAAGGGAGAGACGGAGGAGGAGAAGGAGTCCTCTGAGGAGAAAGGATGAGAGGGAGAGAAAGTGTGAATAATATGAAAGAAGAATTAAAATAAAAGGCTGAAGCAACAAAAAAGAAGAGATAACCATAGAAGAAAGGTTGCAGGAAGAGGAAGGAAGAATAAGGAGCGATGGAGGAGGAAGAGGAAGGAAGAATAAGGAGCAATGGAGGAGGAAGAGGAAGGAAGAATAAGGAGCAATGGAGGAGGAAGAGGAAGGAAGAATAAGGAGCAATGGAGGAGGAAGAGGAAGGGAGAATAAGGAGGAGGAAGAGGAAGGAAGAATAAGGAGCGATGGAGGAGGGAGAGGAAGGAAAAATAAGGAGCGATGGAGGAGGAAGGAAGAATAAGGAGCGATGAAGGAGGAAGAAGAAAGAATAATGAGGAAAGAAGGAAGAAGAGGGAGGAAGAAAGAAGAAGTAGCGGAGGAAGAGGAAGACACAAGATGCACTTCATGTAGGGCCATCTGTCTTAATACCTCGGACACGTGGAAGTTTTCGGCAATAAATGTCAGCCAGTGACGGCATAAGATGATGCATTAGACTCGTAAGTGGCAAGAATCCCTCCTACCTCATGATTCTTACACCATTAAGAGCTACGAGGCCCATCCACCAAACCTCAAGCATAAATATTATACAGTTATATAATACTTTTTCTCTACTTCCTCGGATAGACAAACAAAATATGATTTATATAACGGAGCTAAACTGAGTCTCATATAAGGAATTTATTCAAGTATATATTTTGGGTTTCATCAGTGAATTGGTCTTATTGAAACCTAGATTCTTATAGGAGTAACTAGCTATAGTCATTTTGTATACATATAACATAAGAACATAAGAATGGAGGAAACTGCAGCGGGCCTATTGGCCCATACTGGGCAGTCCCGTTTACACCCAACCCCTATTGCTCATATGAGCATCCAACCTATGTTTGAAGCAATTCAGCGTATTCGAGTTAATGATGATATTTGGTAACTTGTTCCATTCATCCACTACTCTGTTTCCAAACCAGTGTTTACCTATTTCACGCCTAAATCTAAATTTGTCCAATTTAAAACCATTGTTACGAGTTCGCTCCTGGTTGGATAATTTGAGTACCTTTGTAATGTCCCCTTTGTTTAGTCCTGCCTTCCACTTATACACCTCTATCAGGTCGCCCCTCGCTCTACGTCTCTCAAGGGAGTGCAGATTAAGATGCTTTAACCTGTCTCTATACTCAAGGTTCCTAATGCCCGGGATTAGTCTTGTCATTCTCCTCTGAATTCTTTCCAAGGATTCTATATCCATTCTGTAATACGGTGACCAGAACTGAACTGCGTAATCCAGGTGTGGTCTCACAAGAGCAAGATACAGTTTTAGGATGACCTCGCTAGTCTTGTAACTAACACTCCTTTGTATGAACCCAAGTACTTTATTAGCCTTGTTACGAGCAAAAACACATTGTTTACTTGGCTTAAGGTTCCTACTTATCATTACTCCTAAATCTCTCTCGCAGTCGGATTTCTCTATGGCATCGTTGTTCATCTGGTATCTGGTTTCCCTGTTTACATTTCCTATACTGAGTACTTTACATTTGTCGATGTTGAATTTCATCTGCCATTTTTCAGACCATTCGAAAAATTTGTTTAGATCCTCCTGTAGTTTTGCCGAGTCCTCGTCAGATTTGATAACACGTCCTATTTTAGTATCATCAGCAAATTTACTTATGTTGCTGTCTATGCCGATATCTATGTCGTTTATGTATATAATAAACAATAATGGTCCAAGTACTGAGCCTTGGGGGAACTCCACTTGTGACGTTGCTCCAATGGGACTTAGTGCCGTTAATGCTCACTCGCTGTTTCCTGTCCTGTAACCACGCCCTAATCCATTTAAGGATGTCACCTTTGATGCCATGAGCTTCTACCTTTCTAATTAGTCTTTCGTGGGGACTCTGTCGAAGGCTTTGCTAAAGTCGAGATATACCACATCATAATTGTGCCCCTCGTCCACCGATTCGAAAACTGATGAAAAGAATGTTAATAGATTAGTTAGGCAAGAACGTCCACTTGTGAAGCCATGCTGGGAATCATTGATCAATCGGTGCTTCTCCAGGTGATTTCGAATAGAGTTTGAAATGATTGCTTTCAGTAATTTGCCTACTATTGATGTTAGACTGATTGGGCGGTAGTTAGAAAGATAGTGATCTATCCTCTTCTGAAAAATCGCATTACATCTTCGCTATCCTCCGTGATTCTGGCACTTACACCTGTTTTTAAGGACATGTTAAAACAACTTTGCTATGGCATACAAGCTCTTCCTTACATTCCTTTAATACTCTGGCAAATATCTCATCGGGACCAGGTGACTTATTAGGGTTTAGTTTGTCTATTTGCTTACTAACATCGTTACTAGTCACTACTATCTCACTTAATTTGTTTTCTTCACTATCTCTGAATAGAGTCGGTGCCTCGGGTATCATGTTTAAATTTTCGGTGGTGAAAACAGTTGAAAAATATTTATTCAAATTATTGCTCATTTCTCCGTCGTTATCAGTGAGCTCGCCGAAGTCTGACCGTATTGGTCCAATCTTTTCTCGTGTTTTAGTTTGATACATTTGGTAGAATCCTTTGGGGTTTGTCTTCGCCTCCCTTGCTATCCTTACCTCATTATTCCTCTTTGCTTTCCTTATCTCGGTTTTAACCCTACTCGCCAATACCCTATAATAGTCCCGGAGGTGAATTTCGCCACGATTTATCCTTCTACCTATAGCCTTCCTTTGGCCAATGATGTTCTTTAAATAATTATTTATCCTTTAAATAATTATTTATATGGTTGATAACAGTACAAATAAAAATAGATATTCGTATAGCGTGAGTAAGAGATGAATACATATATATATATATATATATATATATATATATATATATATATATATATATATATATATATATATATATATATATATATATATATATATATATATATATATATATATATATATATATATATATATATATATATATATATATATATATATATATATATATATATATATATCACAGATAATATAGGAGAGAAATATATCACCTTGTTACTGCCCACCACGATCTAGGTCAAACGAGGCTACATTAACACATCAAGATATATAGTCGAGTGATAAAAAAAGTGCCCATCCCACCCCACCCCACACTACACACACCCAGCCTACATATTTCACAAGGAAAAAAGAGAAGAAAATATGGAACTATAAAAACGAGAAAAAAAACATGAAAAAAATATATACTGTATATAGATTACAAAATAAGTACAATAGGATGATATAAATGCAATATTCAGATATTTCCGTGTGTTATTTAGAGACGTTAGTACGTAAATAACCAATGTGCCGATATGATGAGTCATCAAAACCTACGTGACAGGTTGACTGAGCGAGGGTGGCACTTACCCACACGTAGTGAGAGCTTTTGGAATTAAGCCTATACGATATTAAATGTACTCTAGCGAATTAACATGGACGCGAATGATGAAATTAAATGACATTTATTAAATTTAAAATTATTAAAGATCGTTTCTCAGTATAAATATGTTACATGTGTCCCAATAAAGCTATTAGTTATGCGGGTAAATATGTCACTAGGCCCAAGAGTACGCCTTGGACGATCACGAGCCTCACAGGCCTCAGTCACGTGGAAGCAATCGGACAGACAGGACGTCTGCGAGTCCAGGAAAAACAATCACGTGGTCTGGTCTCTTGCGTGCACAGTTTCATCAGTGTTGCAAGTAAGTTTATTCGATCTCATACAGGGTTTAGATAGGGCAGAGAAGAAGTTAACAATAGGTAACAGAGAGTTTATTGCAGGGCTTCGGCAGAACCCACTTGATTTGACGACTGCTGAGTGATGATTGGCGATTGACACGATTGGAACGATCGAAGCAGTTTTGTCACC